GCCACCAGCGTTGCATAAGTCCCAAGCAGACTCGACCCATTACGAAGAAGACATTCAGGTGTTGCCTTGTCGTTTACTGTGTAACCACGACGTTGGGCTGTTTTTGCGCATGGCAGGCTGCCCTTGAGTAGCGAGCGCGTTGGTTGTAGGTCGATGCTGCAACGTTTGCGATCCCGTCCAACCGCTTTCCAACATGGTTCCTCCTACAATACAATGTAAATACCGTGTGTGATTGGAGAGTCTCAACTCACGCCTTGACATATTCATACACGTCTTTGAGGTCTGTGGTTGGTAGAACCCGAATAGTCTACTACGAGCAAAATATGTGTAGGGCGGAGTTAAAATATTCAAGCATTAACAAGTACGAATGCCTCGCTAACCCGAGAGGTTGTATACTGTTTGGAACGCTGCAGGGTGCCAAAACTCATGCAACAATGGGCGTTCGAACTCCAGACTCAGAGGCTGCAAACCAAACATCTAAGGAACTAAACCGCGAGCCGCCCACAGAAGTGGGGTTCACTGTGCCTAACTAGGTAATCAATGGAACCAGTGGTGCAAGCAAAAGTCCTTCCGTTTCTATGGTGAATGCATCGTGATACTTTCTGAGCTCTTGGGTTAAAATGAATAGCTGACTTCTGAACACATTCACATATGTTTTTTGTGAGTAACGTACAATACAATACAATACAATACAGTACAATACATTCACATATGTACTGTATCGTGTTACCAACTCAAAATTGTTCGCCATAAAATAATGTTTTGAATTTCCACGTAGTGTAGGGCGACTCTCGATAGTGAGTGGAGCTCTTGGTGCCTTGAGTTGTTCTCCGACAGATTTCTCAGCAGCAATTGTGGACCTTCAAAGGACACCTCCCGTCTCAAGTCCACTATTACACTGCTTCCTGGCACAGCAGGTAGGAGTCACAACTGACCGACTACACAAGACAGGAAACTAGTCTCATGAGTCAATCGTAGCAGTGGAAACAATTGAGTCCATATCACTAACACTGGACGCCACACGTGCAACCTGTCGACCACAACAATTAACTGTGGGATGTTGGTTTGTTCGCACCTACGTTCAATTAAATCAGTCCGTCTGATGAATGCGGATGGATTGAGGGACAATAACCCAAAGTGCCCTCACCACTAATCCTATTAGACGTCACGTCTTCCTTCACATCCTCGGGTTGTGGCCGTCTGTGTTTCGCTTTCAATTCAGTGAAATCACTCACACTAACTGCCCGCGCCGCATTGTTTGGGGGGTCATTAATCGTCATCTTAATTTGCTTAGTGCTCTTGACGTACCACAAAGTTGAACCTGCGTACACACGCACACCCATAAGCTAGTGAGTTTACTCGAGGAAAGACGAAGAGCGCGAAGTACACATAACGACCGTTTTCTCCAGTGCACCTCAAAGCGCTGGCTGGTCGAACTTCGCATCGTCTGTGTGTGCACCAACCTGAGACGCAACATGTCTTCTCGTCCTCCCCTTCCCCCTCTGTCCCCGACTTCAGGCAACAATAGAACCATTTACGAAACAGCTAGAACCAAATACACTGCTCGCAAGCAGTGTTGACCGCATCCGCCTGACAGTTGGAGCGTCCGTTTTTTCCCCGTTGTGCTGCAGTGTCAAGTGGTGTGCGTCGCAGTGTAACAGGTTGAATAGTCCGCCGTTCAAAATGAATATAACTGCATTTGTGTGGGTGAGTGCGTGTGTACGTGCGGGCATCAGCATGTTCGCCTCCGGCGACTCCTCTACGGCGGTTTCTTCTCCCCATAGTAGTTAAGCCAAAGTGCGCGTCTTCTGTCCATCTGCAATCGATTACTGTAGTTAATTAGATTAGGTGTTGGGATTACCATGAGCCGAGTACTCTGTGAAAACAGTAAACAAATGGAAAGCGTGCTGATTTCTTTCCTTACATCCCGTTTGATCCAGTTTACATGCGACGAGGTCCCAGTGACTGTGCCTATGGAACGCAAGCAGAATTATCCATCGCATTACAGTCTGAGGTACGATATCCCAAACCTGCTGTCGTACTGACAATATTTTGGGATGGGGAACGGTTTCCATTATGCTCTGTCCGCATTTTAACAAACAGCAGTTGTCTTCCATATTTTACCAGTCAGTAGACGTACTACAGGGGCATTGGACGCTTTAGTTCTAACGGATTCACGCAGTTGAAAGTGATCATACGTCCGCATCTGAAATAACTATCAACGATCTTCCGATTGGCTAACAACCCAGTTAAATATTCATTCGTGAATGCAATTACACTACAGATATTTTGCACGGTAATCTCAATTTTCAAAAGAGGTCCACCATTATTTCATGGTATGAAAGTAGAAAGCATGTATATTAAGCGAATGTTTATCCCTCAGAGTCACCTCACTTCGCAACCATAACCAGTTCACAGAAATTTTGGATTGTAAAACTTTGCTTGATATCAGACTGTACACCGTGTTAACTACAGGGAAACGTTGTGCCTTGGACACTGGTTCCGGATTGGTTTTTACAGAAGGATCTAAGCGTTTTCATGAACTGGATGCCCATGGACGCGGTCAAGCGGTTTTCTGGGTGTTTGGAAGCTATTTGTATAATAAGATTGAAATGCATTCAAACAGATGGAGACCAGTCTGCCATTGTCTCTAGACCAATACTCGACTTAACTAACATTACCAGACCACACGCAAGTTGAGGTCACGGTAGTGTACGACTCTGGTGTTGGATCCACCGTTCTCATCGCAGGATGTGGGATAACGATTGGAGTCCTTAAAACACATACCTCGACCACCAGCACCCTAAGCTATTCACAAACGTCACCATTTACCGCAGTTTCGACGCATCACATGGAGTCCTGGTGTAGGAAGGCGGAAGGCAGCGTTTGCCCAAAGGACGGTTAGACCAGTAAAACGGAGGCCGACGAATAGAGAGACCGATGCAATGGGGGCGATTCGCTGGAGAAACCCAGGCCCAATAGCACGAGACGGAAACGGGACAGGAGCGGCATCCGTGGGTGAGCCCGAGGCAGACAAAGCAGGTGGGGAATTTGTTGAAGACGCAATAAATCGGACAAAACCGCCGGTATCGCATCTTCAAGAAACAACCCCGGGGAGAGTGATACACCCACGATCAAGCAAAGCGCACGCTTTCGAACGACTCCGGCCTTGCCAGAATCGGAGGTATGGAAACGAAGATACACGGGCGAAACGGATACAGAAGATGCGTTCCCGTACCCCAGAAGGAGCATAGAAGTGTCACGAGCGGAGGCCAAGAGGGATGGTGCAACTTGGGAAGGAAATCTGACCCATTAATGTGTGCCCGCGTGAGTGGGTGGACAGTGTGTGTTCGCGCCAATAAAGATCGTGCTTCATTGCCGCGTTTGTTCTGTCGCTACACTGGGACCAGCGCTGATGAAATCCGTACAGTGTGTCTGTAAGCGCACGCCAATAAGCTTTGGCACTCTTAAGAATCTATCGTATTGAGAAAAATCATAGTTTGGGCTAGCAAATTTTATAGCCCAGCAACCAACCCCCATGACTCAGTGGCTTAAACTGCTGGCTAGTTGGCGTCAGCCTGTAGCAGTCATGACTTCAATCCCCAGAAGGGTACTGAGGTAATGCGCACCACTGACGAGCCCCAATAGGGCGAAACGCGTCTGGTGCTTTTCCGGATAGTGGCTGCACTATGTAGCTTGTGACCTACTGGGAGAAATACGTTAAAATATAGCTTACCAACAAGAATGTTAGCGTGATAGCACTGTACGATTTATATCGGGAAAATTTTTCCTGCATATTATCAAGTGCGTACTGCAGATTGCATGCAAACATATTTACGTAGCATCATTGCCATCTGATTATAGTTGGGATAGCAAATTCACCAAAAGACATGGTTGGCGGCATCCGGTTTCGGATTTGCCTGTCACGGTGGCCAGCCACAGGACACCTGCAACTACAGAGGGACCATGGGTGGCTTGCGCTGCTCCAACCACAGCTCCATCCACACACCCCATATCCAGTGTAAACCCGAAGGAATAAGACCGGGAGGCATGCGGATGGGAACCACGTTTCATCAACGGAGCCGGCCCACACTCCTTCACAGGCAAACACAAGCACGCTGTATTTGGGGAATCAACCGCACACAAGGCGGTGGCTGGACCGTAGTCCGCTCCACACTGAGTGCATGGAACCACTCTTCGAGCCTAGCACGACCATAAGGACGGTGCACCCCGTCCCCTGCAGCAACGACCAACTGTCTCCTGGAGTCAGTATGGACGAGGTAGTGGGTAATGGACAGGTAGGCACCTTGTCAACATGCACATCAAGCGCAGCCACACCGGTGATGTCAAACAACAGCCAATCATTCGAAATGCCGAGATCGAATAAAGTAACCGCATATGACGACATAAATACTCGCTACATAAGCATATGGAAAAAGGTGGTTAAATGGGAATACGCGATAAGTACAAAATGTCCGAAAGTTAGTTAAAACATTCCAAGCGAGATAAAATTACGCAAGGCTACCACAATTTGCATGAGCGACGTGTGTCAGTTGGGAGAAGATTATCAGGTATGCAGAATAAACCCAATAAAATGTAATGAATTTTATCCAAATTACAAAGACCTAGTTTAAGTGTAAATTGGTTTAGCCCAACTGCGGTGAAGAAGCATCATGAATGCGACATCAGCCTCAGCATGGGGCACACCAAAAGACATACACCAACACATATTGACAATCAGTCACACACTTGTTCATTTGTCAGCTGGCCTATACAACAGCAGAGCCAATGTGACGAACGCGTTTTTTTGTACCCATAGCGTGGGGCCCAGTTGTTCCATGGCCACCTACTTGCCATATTGTGAAAGGTGAGAAAACTTCCTATGGTATCTGGTTAAGTACACCCAGAGATTTGAGTAACACTGTGCTTTACCACATGGGCACTCACACCACGCATCGGAATCACAGAATGTCTACACTATCCTCTTCTCTCGTTCACAGTTCCCCGATGCGCCGGTTGCAAGCAACTGGTGTTCGACCGCACTGTGATGCGTGTCCTGAATCAGTATTGGCATGGTACCTGCCTCAAATGCATGGACTGCGGTGTCTTCTTGTCGGACAAATGCTTCGTACGTACGGAAGAGGTGTACTGCAAGAACGACTTTTTTCGGTAAGTTCCACCATTATGATATACATGGCTTGCTCAATTCAAGGACGCGTAAAGGAGAGGGCAGTAGCCCGGGACATTTCCAATTTTGTACTCTGTATCTGTCAGTCATGGTTTACAGTTTTGAGGGTCAGTGACGCCGGGGCTTACCAACGTTATATATGACCCCAGTAACCAGGACAGTTCACCGATCAAGCATACTTTTCAGTGACTATTTTGTAGAAAACTTAACTTGTCAAACTTGACTAAACAAGTAACCAGAAGTCAGGCTGTTCTCTTGGGCACACTATTCGTTTCTGTGGAATCATCAGATAACGAGTGGTTCCCAAGAATCAAAACGTCCAACAGTGTGGGGTCGATGCTTGTCTCACGACTGGAAAGGCTATATCGGGTTGAGGGAACAAACCGAATTAAACGCTTCTCGATGCTCATCAGTGCGATCACTGATTTCGTGTTAAAAAGGCTTTTCCAGTTATTTCTTGCGAAGTACAACAACCTCAATGAATGTTCCATATTAGTGGTACAGAGGATGATCCTGGGTAGCGGAAGGATGTTAACCGAGTGGCTGTTAACTTAAGAGATCAGTTTCTCCCCCAGAATACGTATTCCTCGCAATACTAATAGATCCAAATCATCCGACTTGCACTTCCTTTCTGGCTCGGCCAACGTACTGCCCAGACTTCATTTGGTGCGTCACTCTGAATGACACAGTCGCCTTCCGGCTAAGATCCTATAAGAGTGTAAACCCCAGTTTTCCATAACTGTTAAGTACTTGGCTATTTAGTGTTAGAGCTTCCCATGGCCTGGGCGAGTGCCTTAGTTGAGCATGAGTTTACATGCGAATTTTTGTCATGTCACATGTCTTCGTACGTTGGATTTGTGGCATCTTTATCGGCGTCCATGTTTCTTAACGGTGCTTGCAGGCATATGCATGATGTGGTCCGAATGATGGATATCCACCCAGTTAGACACAAATGTTGACTGATTACTGCTGATCCGAGATCACCACCGAATCATCAAAAACTGCACAAGGAGATGGAGGTGATCATTTCTGTTCATTTGTGAGAGTTGGAAGGAAGTAACAGTATTCTTCGATGTTGCAGATAGACGTCCAGATAGGTAATTCCTTTCGTTAGTCCATTAGCAGTAAGATGAGCAATGTTATGCGTTCCACCAATACGACGTCAACTTGCTTTTCGTGTATGTCCCCGAAGCAGTCAACCAGAGTGTTTGCTTACTGAGGGTCCTTTTCACTATCTATTCTGAACCTTATGTTTTGCTTGAGGTCTGATAATAACGGTTTAAAGAAGAAACTCACATTAAATTCGGATGGATTATAATAAAACGGTCTAGCTTTTCCTTCGAGTCTACTCGGTATTTACGAACAATCAAAGTTTGGTGTCGCTCAGGAACCTCATCATAACATGATATATGAATAAATAGATTACGAATAAAATGTTTGTGTACTAGTGGGAACCCTCAAACTCGCAGCCCATTTGGTGTCCGGCATGACCCTGTTTCGCGAGTTAAAGTTTTGTGTCAGTGTCAACTATTATGTAAGTACGCTCCAACCTGCTATGGCGACCACCCGTCTATGGCGACTAGTCAAAACATCCCCGACTTTTTCTCCTATGAGTAATGTCGCTATGCATGAAGCTGTCTTTGGCGACCACTCTCTGTTGGTCCCTTGAATGGTCGCCTTAGACAGGTTCGACTGTAGAACGACATCAGCGTGGAAACAAAGCTCATTATCCGATGTGGTAGTGGTCCCGATAACGGAAGGATTAGGTAACCTCATGTCATTTCACGTTCCCATGAGGAAATAGGCGCCTGTGTAACAAACATCTTGTTTTTCGAGTCGGCAAGCAAACTAGGGCTCCAGGTACTTCGATGCTTGGGTTGCTCTACTTGCTTCTGCAAATTAAGTGAAGCAAGAACAAGAGCAACATCTGTAATATCGTGTATCATGCACTATTTGGTCCCTGCGATAATTTTCCATAAATTCGTGGTATGGTTGGAAAGCGACCAGGCCAATTCCATCTAGGTGCTTTTCTGAAAGCTTCTACATTAGTACTTCTCGTTAACGCATTTTCTGCTGGCGTCCTTTTTTATTAACACTTCCTCAAATGTGATTTAATCATTGAGTTAAATAAGTGGGATTAGGCAAAATGACTGGCAAATAATATAAATTAGTGCCGTCACTGTAAGTAGGACCGCACAGACTAAACTTTTGCTTTAATCCACTGCTTTTAACCACATTTTTACTGTGCTTAAAATACACCAAAATAAAATGGGTTAAGACGTAATGTATATTGTTTCAAGTATTGACTGCAGGATTTACAAAGGTTGTTGCTTTAATTTTTACCCTAGACGTCTGACGCTTAAGCATAATTCCGTGCTCCTGTAGGTGGTCGGGTGTAGCTAGTTTAAACAGATCAGAAGTCATGCTATCACCAAGGTCGATGATAATCTGGAGCATTTGTGTCAGGTCCCCTCTAAATATGAGACACTGCGGGGAAAAAATACTAGGCTGGTAAGATGTCCAGCATAGAACCGTTCATGTTAATCCTCAGTTTTCCTAGTCGCCAGCTTTGAACATTTACTGCACACACAGCGTCCTTCGGTAGATACGACTTCCATCCTGCACACAGCATAGTTAGTGTGATCATAATACTGCCTAAGGGAAGGAAAACTTCAGGTATAGCGTTGCATAATGTTTATTTGCTACAGACTGGCTCTTGTCGCGCCTTCTGGTGACATGCTGACTCTTTGCTGAGGGTGTGAATTTATTCGCCATAGTGATACCTAGGCAAATCCTATGTTTCATCAACGCTCCGCAACGTCAAGGTAGCGCTGGTGGTTTGTACCGTAACCCCTTCAATGCTGGATGATGATAGTTGAGGTTTTTTGGCATTATTAGACAAGTCCCACAAGGACCACCACCCTGCCACAATGTAAAGTTCTTTGAGCAGTGCGATGCAATAGCCCCCGTTAACGAGTTATACATCAGCTGCATACATATAGCAAAGGTAATTAAGGAAAGACGCAGCCATCTATATAGATAAAGCACGATAGCAGGCCTAATACAGAACCCTGGGAGAGCCAACGTGAAAGGTGTCTGTATTCGAGTAAAGGCTCACCTTCAGAGAAATTCTACTATCTCACTCAATAGTATGGAAGGTATCCAGAATCTTTCCAGTACGAAACAATGCTTAACGGTCAAAGGCCTTGCTGAATTCGAGATAATAAACTTCCACTGCGATTCCTTCATCTACAAACGGTATTGCTTCATCTGAAAAAGCACAACAGATTGGTGAGGCATGGTTTGTTCTTGACGAAGCTGTGCTTTTCTGCAGGTGATCAATTTCACTTTTGTTCGTATGAGTTCATTACAATGACAACAGGCGCAAAATATACGTTTTTCAGCTTGTTCCCGAATTCTACTAGCGCAATAATTGAATTTCAGATGATGTTTTAGCTTGTACGGGTTATTCGTCTTCGGGCGCTCCAAACTAGGAAGTGAGACCCAATCCTTGGCTATTGCTTTCAGACGGCTTCACTCACAATACACACGAAGTGAGCTTCAATCGAGTTATTCTGTTTACTTTGTTACGCAGCTTTCCTTTGCGTGCGTCAATTAAGAACTAAGATTCCCAGGAACTACCTAATTAAAGATTAGTGAACGGTGAGTTTTTGGCTACATTTTCGAAAAATACTCGTCAAACATGCATTTTGTCGAACAATTGCTATACATCCGGAAGAGAACTATACCATTTCCAAGTGGACGTAGCCCACAAGGCTTACTTGTTCAGCTGACTCGTTATCAAAATCCTCTGGGACCATTACAGGTTAGTTTGAATGATAAACCAAATTCAGTCGGGCGACGGTGACACGGTGGACGCACTGACATAGCAACGTGTGCGCATTTATGTGACACAGGCCGGATTTGTTCGTGTGCACCTTGTCACCGGGTTGGTGGCCGAATGCTTGATGGGGATCGGTGTGCCTGTTAGTGCCTGAGGTCAGCAACCGCGCGATCCACACTACCTCGATAACAGTGCCTGTTGACGAAAATGCCCACTGGCTATTCGCGTTCTGACACCGGAGGCAGTCCAGGTCGGTACAAGCTAGCGCGTGCTGTGAACACATGGGGTGAGCGAGTGAACAGGCGCAATCCGAGTGACGCATTGAAGCGCGTGGGGTCACGGCTAACTTTGGCCAAAGCGCGAAATCGCAGGTGGATTTGAACAACTGTCAATGGTGCAACGACCGCACCGCGCTAGGCGTCCTGGCATCATGCGATTGTGCTGCGCGACGTATCAACCTGTGCACTGAGGTTGTAATGCAGCTGAACATATGGGTGATCTGTGTGCCTATTCCGCAGCTAGCACGCAGTGCGTTTTAAAGCATCGGGCGAGATATACACTGAGTAACTAAGTGAATGCTTGAGAATCGCCGCAAGCTGATAGGGTGTGAACCACAAAATCGTAAGACGAAGTGACACCACAGTTTGGCGTATACTGATGCAGCGATAATATCATGATGCACTAGGAGTGGAGGTGTAGCGATGCAAGACGAAGTTCCGAATGGGATGTGTGCATAGAGATCGGCTTACGGGATACTTGAACGCTGTTGCGCTTCCTCATGTTGCGGATCGGGAAATGCCTTCCTAGTGAATGCGCGTGTAAATGAGTATCGTCTAATTCACAGGTTAGCAGTCGCGCCCGAACAGTGCAGCGTCTCGGAGCGTGGGGAGTTCGAGGTTGATCACCTGGTTATCCATTAAATATCACAAGATATCGTACAGCACTGTGACCGGAATTCCGTACCTAACGGAGGGTGGATGAACAATATCGATGACCACCCACTACTATGTGTACTGACATCGAGCACTAAGAAGGCACATGAGCCATTTGGCTGTCAACAGTGCGTATTCAGCAACGGGTTGGGCGTTCCAGGAAACGTTTCTTTGACCCTATGCTATGAAACTGGAGCTGTTCGGG